TGGGTAAAGTGGGGGGCTCTGTGATATGAAAGCGGAAGATGCTCTAGGTGTAACTGATCCTTCTCTTTATTCGTTCATCCATCTTGTTGTCTTCTCTACTTAACTCTCTACATAGCTCCCGCCCTTCTGATCCATCCCTCCCTCATAAAAAGCCTCGCTCTTTCTCTTACTTCCTGCCTCTCTCTATAACAGCATTTTGTGAGAACAAATCTTTTGCTAAAAGATTTTTGTTTACAACAAATTAATTTTTCAGATTTTGTTTTGAATAGAGATAAATTTGTCAGTTAAACCTCTCCAAGTCAAATTTTGTGGGACCATCAAAAATTTATGACTTTGAGTGGTTTCAAGTTATAGAGATTTTAGTTATGGAACCAAGCATTTTTTTGTGGGAAACATGGAAGGATTTTGAGAAATTACGAATGGTGATATTCTGGGCCTTAAATTGCTTCTTTAATAATTTGACAATACAGTATTATATTTTATTTTGGAGACAGGGGTTCATTTGTCCAATTTGGTCTTCCACTTTCTTTCAAAATGCATCAAATTCCATTTTTATTGCTTTTTTCTTTCCTGTGTCAAGAAAAAAATAGCCAAAAGGCCTCAGAAAAGTTTTGACTCATGGAGGATTAAAAGGAAAAGCATTTGAGTTATGGAGGTTTAAAAGGAAAAGCATTTGAGTTATGGAGGTTTTTAATGCATCTGACTGGGACTTGAAAAAAATAGACTCAGGGAGGTTCAAGTTATAAAGGTTCAACTGTATTGATGGATACTATTATAACAGATGGCTCATTGCAGCACAGTATTTTAAAATGCCTACAGTGTGGATATAATGTTCTGAAAATCCTGTTATAGCAAATATTTAGGATTTATTGCAATGAAGAAAGTCTAGTGCTTGCTGAGAAGTTTTCTTTGATTGTAATTTGTGTGCCTTGAATCTGTTCTTAAAATCTTGAACAATTGTTGGGAGAATTTGAAATACAAATCTGAATTTAATTGGGATTCTCCCAAGAATTCCTGACCCTTGTCTTGGGCTGATTCTGCTGTGTTTTCTCTTATCACTTTTAAATGTTTATTTAGATCCACAGCCAAAAGTTCATCCTTGTGTTGTCTTTCCACCCAACCCAAATCCACTCAAAGACATTTAATCATTTCAGAGCAGGAAACTGAGCACAAATGGATAACAAAAATAAGAGAAAATAAAATCCACAGAATACAACTGGACATCTGACATGCATTGCATACACCCATTCATTCCCAGACATTGAAAAACAAAATATCAGTAAAATTAATTTAAAGTGCAAGGTCTTCGGCTTGTTTCTGTATGAGGTTTAGTTGAATGAACAATTTAGAGAGAATCTTTGATGAGAAATCATATAAGGCCAATAGTTTATCTGTTGGCCTGATATGGCAGGGGTTTGGATGTGGAAATCTTGATTGAACCTTGTGAACGCTGAAAAGCAGCAAATAAAGTATTCTGTTATGTTCTGTGTAACGTTGTCTTGACCTTTGTCAGCAACAAACAAGATGCCACACTTGAGTTTCATCTTTCTTGGTTTTCATTTCCGAGTTTTAAATATTGAAAAGTCGGTCTTTTTTTAATTTCGCTGGGCTTTCGACGATGATGAGCGAAATTCTTGTCGTGAAAAATCGCTAATCACGTTGCCCAGCAGAGGAAGCGCGCGAGGCGGAAATCCCTCCACCCTCTCCTTTTCTTATTGCGCTATAAATTGTAAATTGCAAGAGTTCATTTTGCGGTTGTTGGGACACTTTATATATACACAGAGCAGAGCAATATTTCAAATTTTCCGCGAGCCATTTGATTTTGAGGTTCATTGAGTCGATCACCGCGCCATGAACGCCAGCATATGCGACCATTTCGCAGATTTACAAAGCTTTTTATCCTGCTTCTTGGCAGAAAATAACTGCTTTGTTTTGACAGGCATGATTGCATTCGAGTGCCTATTTCGACGATTTCCTTGGCAGAAAATAACTGCTTTGTTTGGAGAGGCTTGAGGGAATTTGGGTGGTTATTCGCGGTGATTTGTACGAATGAAATTGCTTGAAAATGATCTCAACCTCAATTTAAATTTGTGTATGCGTGATATTACGAACCAACTTTTTCTTTTCGAGTTGGGAGTAGAAGATGAGATTGGACACGTCAAGTAAATATAGTGGAGACTTGTTCGAAGAAAAAACTAATTCGTTCTCTTGCTGAAAATTTCATTTGGAAAGGTGTGTTGTTCTTCCTTATTCCATTTGAAGAAAATGTAGCTGAACATTTTTTTTTGACATCAAGTCAGTTCTTCAAACAAATTTCAGACAGGCTGTAGTTTTATGTTAACCGCTGTTGCAATGTCAGCAATTTTTTTTTTCTTTTGGGTCATAAACTGCATGAAAATCATCCTTGGCAAAAAATTTCATTTCGCAAAATGCGTCCCATAATTTTTTTATGAAGGTTTTTTTATGTTTTTGAGTATACATTCAACATCCTGCCTTTCCGTATTCCTGAGTTTTTTCGATCGTCATTCTCATGTGTTTCAAAAATTTGAATAGCTTTGGAAACTATTTATGAGGACTGTTCTTTCTGAGAATGAGTTTCGTCCAGTTGAATCATCCGACATTTTTTGAATATTTCTGCAATAATTTGAGATAAGCTGCCTTTGGTTCAAAATATCAAATGTCTCCGTACCATGACAGCATACAGGTTTTGTGAATGAATTGAAAAAGGCAAAAACCCCGACGACGAACAATCGAGAAAAATATCTCATTTATATTGCACGAAACATATTACATATAATCCATTCAATATATATATATTCGGATTGCTTGAGCTTATGGAACAATTCAGGCATTTTTAACAGGAATTTTTTTGTGGAAATACAGTACATTGGATCCCTGTTGGAAGAATTTAATCCATTTCTTATTAATAAATTATGCTTAAATTGTTTATTGAATTGAAGTCAACGAACCGCTGATTCAATTGTGCGCTTTATTCTGGAATTTCTGCTAAAATCCAAAAAATTGAAACAATTAATGTTCGTAATTAGTTTTCTCTCCTGAAAATTTTCAAATTCATAATTCAAAAATTGGAACACTCTCTTTATAATACGCATCAGTTGCAACAAATGGTTTTGTCAGAATTCGATGTCACACAAAAACTTGTTATGTTCAGCCTTGTATAAGTAGCTTACCTATTTGGTCAATTACACTTTACTGTAATTTATAAAAACTTGCACCTTTTGCTGTAGTAATCTTAATATACTGCAGGAGCAAATGTACAATTTTTAACGTCACATATTGCTTGCATATGCAGAGCACAGCAATAATGTTCATACAAACGCGAAAAATCTGTTTGTAATAAAATAGTTTGGCATTAGAATTAATAGTACGTGTTTGAGTGCATATGTTTTTTCTTGATGTTTGTATGAAATTGTCCCATCGCATCATCATTCAGGGAAACTCCAGTGTTTATCGAACGAGCTGTTCGTGATAATTTCCCCGAAGAAGAAAACATGAATGTTTCCACGACGTACTCCGAAGGCAAGCATATGCAGTCGCCGGCAGCAGGAAACACATCGTTGGTTTTCGCTCTGTGAGAAAATAGAGGCAGGGCTCTTTGGTCTTTTATTTTAGGCCTTTCTTCATTATGCAGTATAATGCTTTTTGCGGCTTTCACGCCTCCGCCGCGGCGGCGGTCGTTTGTTATAAGCGCGGCACCGCGCGGCGGAGCTAAGTAGACAAGTATGGACCGAGAACCGCGGAGGGGTATGAAATTTTTCCGGGCGGCGCGATGAAAAGGCGAATTGGCGGCGATTCGTCTCGCGGGCTTCTATTTTCGCACGATTATTGTTTTTCCTCCACCCCAGCACTTCCTTTTGCCGTATTCTCTGTTATATATACACGTATACTGTATATTTATATACATATACACACAGAAGCACACATATACAAGGCCTTTTTTTCCTCGTCGCACACCGCGAGAGGTAAAAATAAAGGAGGGATTAATGCGGTTGTTTTTACGGCAGCGCGGTGATTCGCGAACATTAATCAAAGGCCGAGTTGCCGACATGATGGGGGCTTGATTTCCTTGATATTTATTTATTTTTCTTTAGATGTGCTTAACCGAAAGCACGTCCCGCGGAGATTTGCTTACTGTACTGATGCATATTTCTTCCCGCAAATTGGCCGATATCGTTGCTGGACCGTGCGTTTCGCAGGCGAGGAACGGGGGGAGAAGCGTTTTTGGTGGATATGATGGGAATAGTTGAACTGACTGCTGGTAATTGGTACACTATTGCATAGTACTACGGGTGCATATAATATTCATTATTTTCTCGATATACGATCCCCATGCATGCTGTAGACTTGTAGAATGTAGAGGTAGCGTACCTACTAAGTATCATCCTTGGCGGAAAACGCACAGCGTAGCGAGCGACACCTATGAACCGCTTCTTTGTATATTTTTGTGAAAATCGTTTTGTCAGGTTCGTGATTTGGTTAGGGGGTTAGAATGCGGAACAGCTTTTGTAGATGACCACTTCAGTTACGTCTACATTTAGGATCGATAACATAAGAGCAAGGTTGTGTCCAAAAACTGCATGAATCACTGCGTCTAATCTTAATTAAATGCAAGAAAAGGTATGATTTCCAATTATCCGTTGTTCAGAAATTGCAATTCACAGCCATGTAATTTCTTTGATGCGGCGCCTCTGAGCTCTACCATTTAATCATGGCCACGTTCTTGCTTTTAAGTTCACAATAATTAGCACTCCACGAAGTCAGTAAAGAGTGGAGGAACGAAGTTGACTGCAAAGGATCGCGCGATTGCGGAGGGAGTTTTCGTTCCTTTTTGCATTAGGTTCCATGATTCTGTGGAATATCGAATATTAAATTTGTTCAGTGCCGTATCGCTGTGGTGTTCTTTAGATTCTCGCGTACCTACTGCGACCATTCGTTATTTGGCGTCAAAGCTCAAGTTTTCACGTGTCCCGAGATTTTAATTGTATGATCGTGTACCTTCCGCAGGTTTGAATTGTAATCTTATCGGACTTCCGATGACATATTCTGTGTTCGTCTTGAAAACATTTTATACCAGGTGACACAATGAGTGGTTGGAAACCACCTTTACCTCGTCCACCGAGCAACACAAGTTCTTCCGGATATGCTCTCGGCGGAAGCGCGATCCGGCCTCCGGCCGTTTACCACACGAAGGGATATTCTGCGGCTTCGACCATGCAACGGTTTGTTGCAGCTGGGGCCAGCAGCAGTGCTGTTCGTCGTAAACCTGTGACGGAAGACGAGTACATATCTACCGTATTCAATCACTATTTTATATTGAGACTCTTAATCATATAATTTCAGGTATTTCGATGACGATGATGAAGATTCCAAGCAGACCAGTTCATCTGCGCCTTATAAACCAAACCCCGGTTCTCCGGGTTATAAGGAGGATGACGATGACGGCGAAGACGACGAAGAAGATCCTCTTGATGCCTTTATGGCCGGTATCGAGAAGGAAGTCAAGGGTGACTCGTCAAACAAACATACTAGTGATAGTAAAAGTTCTGCAAAGAGCATCAAGGGGATCCGCGACGACATTGAAGGAGAAGATGACGAGGAGTCGTACTACAGGTTTTTTATTTGACTTGTAGAAAGCATCATTTAGAATGTTGTTTATTGTAGTACATGATAATGTATGCAGGTACATAAAAGAAAATCCGCAAGCTGGCAAAAATGATGACGAATCTGACGAAGAAGTAGAATACGATGAATTTGGAGAACCCATAGTCAAGCGGAAAAAAGTGCGTATTTTTCGAGTTTCTGAAGAAAGCAGGTTTTAATAAAATTTTGTGATTCGTTCCAGTACATCGATCCGCTGCCGGCTGTGAACCACAGTGAAATAGAATACAAGCCATATACGAAGAACTTCTATGAGGAGCATCCGGATATAGAAAAGCTGAGTGAAAACGAGGTTGAAGAATTGCGGCATAAACTAGGAGTTAAAGTTGGTATTGTAGCGTTCTTTCAAAATGTTTCGGTCGTTTCATTTCCTGTTGATGATTCAAAGGTCAATGGTGCATCGCCACCGAAGCCAGTGTCAAGCTTCGCTCATTTTGGATTAGACAAGCACACGATGGCTACGATTCGAAAACAAGAGTTCACCAAACCAACAGCTATACAAGCACAAGCCGTTCCTGCTGGGCTCGCGGGTCGCGACTTGATAGGGATTGCTAAAACAGGTTCAGGAAAAACTGCTGCTTTCATATGGCCGATGTTGCCGCACATACTCGATCAAGAACCTTTGGCACCTGGGGATGGACCGATTGCGTTGATCTTGGCCCCCACTCGGGAACTGTCGCTTCAGGTTTGTTCGATTTGGTGGAATCATTTTGAAAATTGTGCTTTTGAATCAAGAAGCTTCATTGCTTACGAGTAGATTAGCAGGATGAAAACAGGTTGAGAAGGTTGGTGACTTGGCGTAGATAAAATTGTGTTCGAGAATTGTGCTTTTAAAGCAAGAAGCTTCATTGCATACGAGTATATTAGCAGGATGAATACTAGTTGAGAAGGTAGGTGTGAAAGGATAATTTCCAAGTATGAGTCGATAAAAATTATAAATCTGGGTTATGCTACCAGTTTGTTGCCTTCATCTAAATTTGAATTCCTTGTGTGTGTATTGTTAGTGTCGCAATGAGATATAGTGTTCAGAGGCTGTTGATCTTTTATACATTTTTCCTCGATGGTACTCCGTGAGCGGCAGGAAGCGTTCCGCCTGTGTTGAGGTTCGCCGAAAAATCAAAGCACACTGTTCGTCATTTCCAGATTTACAATGAAGCGAGAAAATACGGAAAAGTGTTCGGTCTGCGAATAGCGTGCTGCTACGGAGGAGGAAGTAAATGGGAACAAAGTATTTCCCTGGAAGCTGGCGTCGAAGTTATCGTCGCGACCCCCGGAAGAATGATCGACCTGGTGAAATCTGGGGCCACGAATCTGCGACGAGTTACGTATCTTGTGTTGGACGAAGCGGATCGAATGTTCGACCTTGGTTTTGGTAAGTTTTATGATGATTTTGAATTACCATAGTGGAAGAATTAAGTTGAATTCATGCAAAAATAAACGTGCAGAGCCGCAAGTGAGGTCGATATGCGACCACGTGAGGCCAGATCGCCAATGTCTGATGTTCTCTGCCACTTTCAAGAAGAAAGTCGAGAAATTGGCGAGGCATGCGTTGGTGGATCCCCTGAGAATAATTGATGCTGATGCGACACGTGGAGGCGGATCTGGTGTCAACGAAGATATCACACAAATCGTGCAAACATTTTCCGGAGTCGTCGGAGCGAAATGGGCCTGGCTCACGAGCCATATTGTCGAGTTCACGTCAGTCGGGTCACTGCTCATCTTCGTAACCAAAAAGGTGAACAATTTTGTCTCTTACTGATGCCTGGCTCATAAGTTTTGTCGATTCTATGCTTCTCTTATTCCGGTCTCGTTGAGTGGGTTGATGACGACCGTAATCATTTCTTGACAACCCCCTGGGGAATGCCTTGCTTGTTGACATGAAAAAAATTTCGCTTTTAGCGCAACATTGTTCAATTTACGTCAAATTTTGTTCCGCAGAAAATAAAAATTGAAAAAGATAGTGCGTTACTGTCTTATTTAGTCTCATCTGTTAACTTCGTTCCCTGTGTAAAATGCCACCGCCTTTTGTTCCGTGTGCATCTCCATGAGGTTCTTGAGTCAGAGTAGAACCTTGTTAAATCGAATCTCGTAACGAATAATCAATTCCAACGAATTCCTTTTTTAGGTCCTAGCCAAATAGCCGCAATTTTAATCTACTGTAGTTTCTTTATGAAGAAATTTTTGTACAAAAAAGCTATTTTAGTTATCCCAATGGGTTTCGTGTAACGAGATTTTAATGCATGAGGAACTTAGGAAGTAGGAAATTTCAGATTAGGTCGTAATAAAGCTGAAAATGTCGAGTTTATATTCTTTAAACTTCTGAACCTCCTGCGTTCTACAGTAACTGAGTAAACTGTATTGAGTAAGCCTCCAAGGTTTTCATGAACGTTTGAATTTTCAACAGCTGAATGCAGAGGAGTTGAGCAAAAATCTGGAAATCAGCGGTTACACGAACGTCTTGCTTCATGGTGACATGGACCAAGCAGATCGTAATCAAGTGATATCTGCGTTCAGGGCCGGTAAAGCCAATATCATGGTGGCCACGGATGTGGCTGCTCGTGGATTGGACATTCCTTCCATTCGAACCGTAGTGAACTACGATGTTGCACGAGACCCTGATACTCACGTGCACAGAATCGGACGTACTGGTCGTGCTGGAGTCAAGGGAACAGCATACACTCTCGTTGACCGAGAGAAAGACAAAGAATTCGCTGGGCATTTGGTTCGAAATTTGGAAGCCGTGGGGCAGCAAGTGCCAGAGGATTTATTGTCGCTGGCTAATCAGGTTGGTGTGATGCATCTGTTTTTCCCCGATTCTAAGACAAGTACTTCACTTGGCTCAGGCAGAAATTTCAAACAAATTTCAGAGGGTGTAACTACAGTATGTTGATTGGTCAAAATGTTACCAAGACGGAAAAATTAAAATTAATGAGCAAGTACTGTGTGCTGTTTTATAATACTGTATATGAATAGCCCTCAAATCAAACGAAAAATTATGAAACATTTCCAGAAGAAGTTATCACCATTTCCTAAAATCAGCTCAATTTACTTATAGTCTACCTTGACGAATATAGAATTCACCTTGGAAAACCCCTGAACCATTATTTTGATTCACGTCTTATCTTTTGAAAACACGTTACGGTAGTTTCAAACTAATTCTCAAGTTTATTTTTTCTCGCCTTCCAGAGTCATTGGTTTAGAAAATCAAGGTTTAAAGGTGGCAAAGGGAAGAGAATGAACGATGGTGCGGGTCTTGGGTTCAAGGAGCGACCTGGCCTAGGATCCAACGTTCCTAAGGTTTGTGGAAATCTTCCAGGTATCTGGATTGTGCATATTTTTTACTGCAAGTGTGTTTTAGAGTTCTACCAGTGTGACTTCGACGGTAAGCAGTGGGCAAGGACCGTTGGGCGAAGCTGTGGCTAATACTGTTGGGCCTGGTTCTGCGGGACGTCTTGCAGCTATGAAACAAGCATTCAAATCCCAGTATCAGTCTTACGTTAGTATGAGGAAAATTTATCCCTGAAGAGGTATTGTGCTGACAATAATGTGTTTGCTTCGTTTATTAGTTTAAATCTTCAGCACCGTTGAATGCTCCAACTCAGACGGGCTCAACTCCGACAAGCTCAACCCCGAATCAGGACGGCGAAGGCCAGTCACGGCGGAAGCGATCTCGTTGGGAATAATACCCTTTTTGTGTTTTACTGTAAAAAGTTCGTTTTGTTTGTTGTTTGCATCAACTTCGGTTGTTGATTGCTTTATGGACATTGTTCAATCCCGATGATTCAGCATTTTGGAGAATAATTTTGAAACGATTTAATTTGATTTCAGGTCCAGCGGTCAGTGTTGATCAAGTGTGTTAATATATTCGTTAAGGCGGATTTCGAAAATTTTCCAAAATGGGTTTCGCAAATATATGGTTTAGCCACCCTCGCAAGTACGGACAAGGATCTCGATGCTGGTATGTTTTTCTTTTCTTGTCTGCCAATGTTGTAATCAATTTTTTCTGTTGAAGATTTGTATAATGCCTGATCGATTTTTTTACTCTGTTCGTGCCTCAGTCAACTGCGGATTAAAGTAAGCAAACGGGCACGATAACAGTGTATTTTAAGGCTAACTATGTTTTACCCGATTTCGGAGTTTAAGGTTTCGTGATGCAATTTTTACTGATAATTTATTGTTCAAATTGCGTTTTCTCTTCGAGGTATTATTTGCCAATTAATTCTTCTTTTATTTCAGTCGCGCTTGCAGCAATGGGCATGGATTAATCCGCAAGTACGGACTCAACATCTGCCGGCAGTGTTTCAGAGAGTACGCCAAGGACATCGGATTCCGAAAGGTTTGGAATTTTTATAATTGAGGGAAAGATTCGGGTTTTAATTTCTTGATTCTACATGTCAGATGGATTGATCTCTCTGACGGACTGTCGTCGATCGAAGCTTCTCGTCGTAGGCTAGATAAATCTTTGTGTCTGGCCGGATAATGAAGTGCGTTTCGACGTGAAGCAATTCTGTGTTCGTTTTCATTCCTAAAAAAAATGTCGCAATTGAAAATTTCACCTTGATCCGATTTTCATTTCAGAAGCGATTTTCTTATTTGAAATCTCAGTTACGCGTTTTTCAATCATGTGTTGGCTTCCTGACGTTAAATCTTGCAGAAATCGATGAGCGTGAATCTTGGCGGGAAAGTTTGCGGAAATTCCTGGCCGTTGAGCATTACCTTATTTTGTAGTATCAAGAAACGCGGGAAAATTCGGAACTTATGATTTCCTGAGGATGACGTCGCAATTCGTGATTGATTTTGGCATTCCAGTTTCTCCTACTGCGAGTACCATTGTCGAAGAGGATGTCGCTGCACGTAAGTTTTTTTTTATTTTTTTTTTATAAAGATTCATACTTTTTAAACTTGGTCATTGATCCACACTGTCCATGTGGTCTAATCCTATCCTCGGTTTTTTTTTTTTCTTTTCACGGAATGATCGTTTTTTTCCAGTTCCGGACACGGATCCTTCTCAGGAGCAAATTTCGAGAGATGGGGTTCGATGGGTAGCTCCACGTTTTGAACCGGATTCCCCAACTCCTGCGGATGAGTCCACCACACCATCTAATGCTGCTGTGGCGGCGTGGAATAACCTACTCGCTGAAGATGATGGCGCTCCAGCCCTCGGGCCAGTGATTAGCCCTACTCTCGCAAGCCTCATAAAACGTTCTTCTCAAGAAATCCCTAATCTTGAGCGATATAAAACCCGACTGGAGGCGTTGAAAACTCCTCAAAATTGCCAGCTTTCAGTACCCAGGGTGCCTGATGTGGTGTGGGCAACGATGTCGAGAACTGCGAGGCAAAAGGACTGTGTTCTGCGGGAAATCGCGACGGATTTGATCGCTGGCATTTCCGGTATGGCTTGTGCCGTGGGGGCGAGAGATCAAATCCAGAATCCGCGTCAGTTCGGCATTGCGATGCAAGTGAGTATTTTGGAAAGGTTGTAGCAAACATTGAATATTGCCCAGTCTCAGCAGTCGAAAAAACGTCCCGGAAGTGGCGTTCCGATTGTAAACTGTGATGGCTCATGAGAAAATGAATGTTATACTGTGTAACACAGGATTTTTTCACGATCGGCCTCTCTGTATCGTTATTCTCCGTGTCGCGATACTGTTATACTGTACCTTGAATATCTTCTTGGAGACGACCTGTATTCAGTTCGTAATAAATTATTCGTATTAACTCAATTAAAGTATTATAGGTTTGTGTATTTGATTACGCCGTGAATCGCATGAAAATCTTTTTCGTTTTTTTGCTCCTCGTGTAGAGTTGACAGAGAAAGGGGTTGATTCGAAAATCACCAATCTATATTCTGTATGAACCGTTGAGTGACCGAGATTCATTTCCTGAACGAGAAGCCCCGAGTCGAGTTCAATAACTAAATTTACGCAAGTGTTATACACGTTTCTCACGAATTGAAAACAGAATAAAGCGTTTAATTATGAACGAGAAAGAGAAAATAGACTTCAACGCGATTTTTTTTCTTTTATTTTTTAACTTATTTAGACTACAGTACCATGTGTTGCTAGAATCAAGTTTTGCAAGAATTGCGAGTTGAAATAATTTATACTAGCCCAACCCCTGCTATGTGAAGTAAAAATATCATGAAACGTAGTGCAGTAATTTGAAATCATAAGTGGGTTTCACCACCCTCACATGCAATTTCAAGGGGGTCCATCCCCCAGTCGTCAATTTCAAGTGCTGTGAGTATTGCTCGTCACTAGTCCTTGCTGGATTAACAAGCATCTCCAGCAGGGCAAGCAAATTCGCAGAAGAGCAAAACGGGAACTGGCACACAGGTTCTCATGACAGCATTCGCGTGTGCTGGATTTGCCAAGCCGCACTGTGCTTCTCTGAGTGAAAACCTGAACATCTTCTCACAGTTTCATTGAAGGATGAAACTAAGGTAAGAATCCAGGTAGTATGCAAAAAATCGTTTTTTTTTTTTCTAAACGAATATTCTTGCAGTTTTGAACTGCAGATTCATTCATTCTCACAGAGGTAGGATGATGCGCATTGTAAAATCATGTTAGTTCTCAAGAATTTTAGGAGCTAAGGCAACTGTTGAGAACAGAGTGAGGTGACCACAGCAATGAAGAAATTCATGGAAGGGAACCTTTTTGTTGTTAGAAGAATGGGAATAAGCTGACAAGTTTTGTTCCATGAAATGCAAAATGATGGAATCATTTCAGAATTTCGTTTTCTTTATGGATATGTCTGCTGAGACCAACATGATGTTCAAGGGGGGTGACAAGCATTCAAAAAGGTAAGGTACTGTATGTGACATTTCTGATAATCGAGCTTTGAAGAGTTTTAGCTGGAATTATCCGCAACAGCCAAGCATTGTGCCGAGTTGGAGGAACAGCAGAAGCAGACTGGTGACAAGCCATTGTTGATCGCTTATGCTTGGTTGAAGGTTCCTTTTTCTACTGTCGTGTCAGTGAATATTATAACATTGTCATCAGTCTTCTGTACTGGCGTATGTACTGTATTCAAGTATCATGGATAAGAAGGTACATTATGTGTTGGTATTTTACTGGAAATTTTCACTTATTTAATGTTCAGATAAATAAACTGAAAGACCAATAATTGAGGTTGTTAAATTTAAGGTAATATGATAGGCAGTTACCTGACAGTGCAAAAGTAATGTCTGGCAACAAATCAGCTGCTGCAGCATGAGAGTGGAAGATCAGCAGCAGTTGAATTTGAAAATTTTTATTGTATGCAGCAAAATTTGAAACCTTGAAAATGATTGTTTAATGTGCTCGCAGGGACTCTCCATCTCTGCAATGTGGCCTTTGGCCACAAAAATGTCTTAATGTGGCCATTGGTCTCATCTCAGTTGGACAGCACTGCTAAAAATTGTCTAGGGATAGTTCTGTATCTTATGTTGCAACAGAAGAACATTTATTGCAGTTGATAGTATTGGCATGCCAATCCTGTCAAACAAAGAAGGTTTGTGTTCAGGTCTGAAAATCTCTTTGTGCTGTGGGAATGCTGAAATGGAATTACTTTTAATTGTGCGCTCTAAGCAGGCCCTCTTAAACTTGAACCTCTTCACCTTAAATTTGTTCTAGTCTCAAGCATCATCAGTCCTAGCTCCCTTGAGTTATCTTACTTGAAAACTCTTGAAGTCGATTTTTTATTGTTCCCTTAAAATTTGATGAAAGTGGTCCAACTGCACATAGCGTGGTTGTGTTCACTCAGTTGAACTTTCAATATTTGTGGTGCAACCCTTTTTACGGTTGATTTTTCCCAACTTTGCTGACTTCCGTATGCCAGCATTCACTGGGAACTTGCCTTAGTTCCCCAGCGAAAAAGGATTTGGATGATTTTTCAGGGTATGATTGTTCCTTGGTTTGAAATCTGTTCTTGTGATAGTTATCCTTTGTTGCTTGCATTTCATGTAATGACATATTAGAAGGTGGAATCACTTCCTGATTTAATTACTCTATTACGTGTACAAGGAAGTCCGATGTACGGAGCTCTCTTTGCATTGGGTTCCTATCAGGTTATAAAAAAAGTCACTTTATTGTTTGAGAAATTTGTGGCATGTGCTGGCTAACAGTTCTCCTTCTGTGAGTGGTTTGATGGACAGATTGTTGCAAATGTCGTCTGTCTAGCTTGGTATTGAAATAATTCTGGACAAATTTCAATAATTCCAGTAAAAGCACCTAGATGTGGCCTGTGGAGGGTTAATTTTGTCCATTTGCCATTTAGAATATGCGATTCATCTGCCCAATTCTTGAAATTTAGGTGGGTCACAACACTCTTGCTTGGATTGGGGATTCATCCTTCAGATGTGAGAGGAAATCGTTTTTCTGACATTTTCCACTGTTCTTCTGGGGGTTTCTTGAGAATAAAACTCCCAAAGAAAGGAGAATACTTACTTCTTGTTTCACTTGACCGCATTTGTCCTCTCTGTCGACGTATTTTTCGTGTTGCCAGTGCACGACTCCTATTCCATTGGCTTTCAGCTAATGTCATCTCTGTGTGAGAGCGCAATAAATACGGAGACATTTCCTAGAGTTGTATTCTTATACTGTATCCAAGATCTGGCGAAGATCTTCGATACATCACCACATCAAGGCAGCTTCTGTACCCACAGTAGTTTGCCAAACAATTGCCGACTTGGTATTTCGGATCTTTCGGGAGATCTGTTCAATAGAGGGAATATTTTTGTCAGTATTTGAGCGTGATTGCTCATTGAGTTGTCAAGAATGTCAGTACTGTATGTCTGTTATCCGCCTGAAAAAAAGATGCTGGTACGCACATTTCCAAAAGAAATTTCGATTTTGTAAAAGACTAGTAACGTTCACTCTATTATGAAGATTGAGGTTTTCCACTGAGTACTGAGAGAAGACCTGACTCCGTTGTGCGAAAAAAATCGTTTTGCGAATCGCCCATTATCCGCGATGCAATGGTAATACTCACGTTCGGAACACCTACAGATGTTGGCGTGTCTGTTGCCGAAGATTGAGAATTTCCGGAAAGCTTCGATCGGTCCCTACTTTGGTGTTGCCTGGAAAGGCTTCAACGACCCAATCGCTAATGCCAGGCGGTCTCGAACTGGAGCCGCGGGTCAAGACACTGTTTTTGGCGAATGGAACGTGACCTTTGACCATCTGACGGATCCCGCGGTTGCGCGTCACAATACTAGGACATCTGCGACACATCCGGCACGTGCCAATTCCGGTTTCTCTGCTCCGAATCCGGACTCGTCATCGCGACCATTCCGACGGCGGGTTCAACCGTATGCTCGTCAGGCTGTGCCGCAGATCACCCCGTCGTCGTCGTCGTCTTCCCCTCCGACGTCCCAACAGTCTCAACCGGTAACGGGACACTGGCTTTGGGAACATGGCCCTGGACAAACCAATGCTGAACTCTGAGTTTTAATGAAGTGTGTGTGTTTTGTTTTTCGTTGGGAATGATGGAATTTTTTAAAGCGCTGTCGAAGAAAAGAGGGATTCTCTGGTATGTATGTGGGAAAAAAGTTGGTACCGTGGCGAGCGTTGCAGCGTTTTCCGTGCTGCCTGTGAAAAGAAAGACGCAATCCAAAAGTATTGCATTCAAAAGGAACGATGAAGTTTCAAATATTTGGGAGGGAAATAGTGCACTCACTTCCCTCAAATTTCGAGCCATGATCGAAAACTATTGATGTCGAAAGATTCACCTTTTCAATTCGGAAAGAATAAAAATCGGTGTAAGCAGAAACTAGTCGGCGCCCTACTCGTGAATGCAGTACAATATCTGATTTCCGGAAGCATGAAATTTCTGATACGCCCATTGCACTATTTGTTTGAAAAGTTCATCTTCCATTCAATAACGCCTCTTGAACGCATTCTCCACCCTTTAGAACACGATTAACATTCCTTCAATATCGATTTTGGCGATGGTTTCTTCTTAAAATTTAACTTTTCCTCTTCCGATCTCTTAATATCCCTTCCAAAATTAATGAACTTCTGATGAATCACTGCTCAAGTCCCGTTTCTTGTAAACTTGGGTTGTATTGCACTGGGAAAAAAAGTTGGAAAAGATCAACTGTGACGTCAAGTATGCATGAAAGAGTACTGAGTGAGGCTTGGTCACCGATTTTTTCCTTCTTCCTACGTTGTTGCCGAATCTGTCGGATGGGAAGAGAAAATTACGATCCTTTGTAAAGACAGAATAATCTAAACGACTTCCATCTCGCTGAGAATTTCTTTGACAAGAAAAATTGGGAATAGGACTGCGTGAAAACATTAAATACCGCGTGAAGGATGAGTTTCCTCGTTCGACAAAAACATCAGAGGTGGAGGTGAACCTTTTTTCAAATTTTTTACCCGGAGAAAGGATTCCTGTGGTTCTTGGAGATTTTGTTGTAAGAGTTTCTAAGTACAGTACCTTAAAAAAGCATTGCTTGAAGACCCTGAAACGTGTCTCATCATAGCTAAGAAAAAACAAACAACGAATTACACGTTTAATTTGTTGCATTAATTTTCGCACTATGTCATGGTTACGTATATATTTTTCGGATTCCGCGTGGTTTTGTTTTTCGCCAGTGCAATGCTGTCTCATAAATGAATACGCATAGTTTTCATAAAATGTCAAGTTTCCTGCTCTTACTTAACTGGAAGTACTGTTCGTGATTGTCAACTTACCATGATTTTCGTTTTTCAGGTTGGTCTCGGGCATCTTTTTTTTGCGGAGTTCTTGTGCTTGACAAGCTTCAATAAATTGAATCATGGGTTTCGCGAATATTTGGTTTAGCCACCCGCGCAAGTATGGACAAGGCTCACGTTGCTGGTGAGAATCAATTTAAATTTTTCTTCGTTCGAATATTCATTCGTCGTTTTAATTTTTCCTACGGGCTGTGAAGTTATGAATCACGTGGCGCTACTTTGATCGTTTTGCGAATATTTAGGCTGAACCCTTTTTTTTTCTCAACTTATATAGTCGAGCCTGCAGCAATGGTCACGGTTTGATCCGGAAATACGGTCTCAACATCTGTCGTCAATGTTTTAGGGAATACGCTAAGGACATCGGTTTCCGCAAGGTGAATAAAATTCATTTTTCATCTATCGAAAAAAAACGCACATGTCCTTCGGTTCGGATTTTTAAAATGTTGCACGGAATATGAAGAAATATGGGATACAACTTTCATGAATTTTGCGATGATCTTATGAATTGGGAAAAACAACGCAATTTTCAGTTGGTCAGGTCAAGTGAATTTCATAGATTTAAAAAGTGTTATTCTAGTTTGGCTGCTTTTCTCTCGGCGAAAATGGTTATTGAATAACTCTTCACTTGATTTTTTTGTGGTTTCTCGTTCCTAGTGTGGAGGAACCCATTCATACTAATTGGGACTAAATTATTGTATAGAAAAATATCTACAACACTCCCTACGACGAAATTCAAGGAACCAGAAAATAATCTTCGTATACAGAATTTTTATTGATACCCCACTTGTATACTTGTACATGTATATTTACGGTATTAATTTATTTACAGGCAGTAGGTTGTGTATTACTGTACAGTACATTTGTAGATTTGTGATAGTGTGGAGTTCGACTAGGTTTGGTCTTGGATGTGAGGGTATTTAAGGTGCCTAGATTTTCGTTTGATTTTCGGCAAGTGGCCAATTTCATCCGATCAAACTTTTGAATTTACAGATGGACTAGTTGCCGAATGATCTAGGACAGCGTGGATGCCGGTGTTCAACAGTTTCCTGCATCTTCACTATCTTTTGATTGTTTTCGGCCACTGGCGAATGCGAAAAAAAATTTGAATCGCTTTCGGAAGTTTTCAGTCTTCACTTATTCCGCAGATTAATTTTTGTCGCATTCTTCAATCGTAAAAAAATTCGCACTCTTTGTTTCAGATTTCAATTACAGTAATTGAAGAAAAATATAAATTGAATTCTTAGTCAGTTCATATCATTTACGGATAGTATGGATAGAAGTAGAAGAGGAAGCAGAACTTCAACGTCGGAAATGCCGTCGACTCCATTATTGGACAGTGAAGAAGGTGGCCCTGGAGTTCTTTTCAATATGTTCATCGTAATGGAGGATCTCCAAGAAAAACTGAAACTATTAAATTGCGACGCGGAGTTTTTCAAAGAAATGGGAATGAAGCCTTCAAGCAGGTCAGGGTTTTCACATTTTTAGTAGTCCCCCTCTTTTTTTTTGTGTTTGATGAGGGAATTCTTCCAATTCGTGGAAAAACAGTGTTCAGGGAAAATTGAGCGCCGTATTGTTATATTTTCAGGCATTATTTCGCACTTACAAGCAATACAGGAGAACAGTTTTACCTTTTTTCGACGCTTTCTGCGTGGTTGATTCGCAAAACAGGCCGAAAATTTGAGAATCCTCAAGAATACGACGACCCGAATTCGACTGTGTCAAATATTCTTGATGTTGTGAGAGCTCTTGGTGTTAGCATCGATTTCCCGCCCAGTAAACTGAAAACTGGTGCCGGAGAACAAGTTATCTTCGTTTTGGACAGTTTGGCGGACGCTGCTCTGAAGAATGTGGGGTTTACTTGGATGAAGTGAGTTTTACAATTTTTCTTTCGTTTAAATTCCCATGACGTGATTATTTATGTGAGGACAAAACACAGCAGAAATGCAAAATATGACGAGTGTTGTTGCATTTTAGCATAGGTTTTCATCAATAAGTAGCTTCGATCTAATCAAACTGAAGCAACTTGTATGCATTTGGTTTTTACTGGAGTGTTTGCGTGATCTTTTTTTCCCCCTAGCCAACGAAATATTTTTGGATTTTTTTTCTACGTCAGCCAAAATAAGTGACCAGAACAGCTTTGAACTGCTTCTTTGACGTAGGGTTCGCTGACCGGAGTAAGAGAACTTCGATCACAGCTGCAAAATTACGGGATTTATAAGAATTGGTGAAAAACGTACCTATGATGAACTGGAAAGACCCGAATTTTAGCAGTACAGTTGTGCATTTTTCGAGAATGACGCAGTGTGATTAGGTTAGTTTTGTAGCCTTTGAAGCATTTCTGAATGTGTCCGCGAATGAAATGGCTGAAATGAAGAAAACATTTTGATTTTTATTTTACACTTTTGTAGCGGATATTTCTTCGTTATTTCGTCCTTTTTGTGTACGCGTGCTGTCTTAGAATACGATTAACTGTCTTGGCACTTGTGATTTCATATCGAACTTTTGGGGCTTCTTTTAATTTTATACGTCAGACCGCCGCCAATCCTCGACACGGGTAACGACGACGAAGACGAATTAAATGACAACATTGACGAACAAGAGTTGGTGCTGGAAGCCTTGGAAGAGTCGGAAACGATACCCGAGGATTCTGGGGATTTGGATGATGAAGACGATGACAACGTTTTGCTAAACCTGGAGGATTTGAAAGGACTGACAGGAATCGGGAATAAACTCGTGAGTGACCTTCATTTTTCTTTCTGCACCGTTTTCCCCGTAAACCAAATAATGTAACATATTGTGCTTGCGTTCTTCTCTTTTCGCAAGAGAATGAAACCATGGGGTTCCCTCGTGGGCCGCGTCGTACCCTGTCGCGCGCACTTGGCCGTAGTCCAGGTACCATGTGCATGGGAGTGACGTGCCTCCTTGTGAATAGTGTAAAGATTTTTGTTTTCGACTTCAAAGACGAGATATCTGAACTTGTGCCCTCGTGCTCACATGTTAACCTGGGAGCAAAGTTCATAAAGAGATAAACGACGTGATTTTTGGATTTTCATGCTTGGAAAATATTTTAAATTCTGATTGAACGATTTTTCGTGACATTTCAAAATAGTTTGTGGACGAGGCATCGAGTTCAAGATCGAAGCACGGAAATGGAAGTCTCGGTGGTTTAATTTTTTATTTTGAAAGCTCTGGGATTTACTTGTCACATTTTCTGGAATGATAGAGTGACTTAGTAGAGTTAGGCAGTTTTTCGGCGGTTCCTTCATTCATGGTTTCAAGTGAAAGCAGCGGAAGCTCAAAGGTGTATGTTCTGCATTTTTAGGACAAGATGATGGAGAGCCAAAAACCCGAAGAGGTTATGGAAAGTTCGACAAACATAGAAGAGTGGCGTTTGGAAGTAGAAAGAGCTCTGCCTCATTTGAAAGTCGTTGTCCGAAATGGTGAGGCGTTGCATTCCGATTTTTTCTACTGTAATACAATATTTTTTTTATTCTGTGACTCCCAAAAAAATTTGAACTGATTTGCGCTGATTTTTTTAAATGCCGCCTTGCATAATTTTATGGTGTTTTTTTGACCCCAGGACAGAACTTGAGTTAATACTGTCACTGAAACTCATTTTTAATGAAGGGCCATCGAAAGTTGAAATTTTCATTTAAACCGCGAGTGGTTGGGGTGTTTATTTGTGAAAAATTTTAAATCGTTAACGATAAAGATTCAAAGCGTAAATTAAGTTCATCAGCCGTAAGCTGCAAATACGGTTAGTCCGAAAGCGTTTTTGTAGACAAAAACTTGATGTAAACCTGATAATTGACTATTTGTACTGTATTCCAGTATACAGTATATTATGTAGTGGGAAGCGCGGTGAACCTTTCATTATGTACATTTTCAACCAAGGTCATTAAACTTGACCCCTTTCGTGTTCACCTTTTGAGTCCTGTTGGATTGATGAATACTAACGGGAATTTTGCAAAGTAAGATTTGATAATACAGTACAGTACTGTATCTTGATGATTTATAAAAACCCAGTTTAAAACAAACTGGACGATATCCTCAATCTGTAAAAAATATTCCGATCTTGGTAATGTTTGTGTCAGTCGCGCTGAATGAGAAGGTTGCTTTTGATTGTTGATAGGCGAGTACGAAGTTTTTCTCCCACTCGGTTTAAAGGGAATCAAAGCGATTGATTGACTATTTTTGAGTCATTTCTGTGTGAATTGAAGTATTTAGACTCAGAAACTTGTGCACCCAAATGTTGTAACGGTTTTTACGGATTCACAGTACAGTATAATCTCGTTACAGCGATGCATTTTGGACCGTAAAAAAGCTTAGTTACAAACGTTAAAACGAAAATAAAATATAATTCTGGACATTGGATAGGGACCAAAAAACAAATTCGTTGCAAGCATTGATTCGTTATAAGCATTAATTCTTCGTAACGAGATTTTACTGATATTTTTAAAGCATTCCTCGTTAATCGAATGACCTTAAATATGGTATGTGCATTTCTGAAAGGTAGTGATGCATTTTCATTCAGAGCGACTGCGTTCAGATATGCTTGCCCGTTTTACCTTCGGGGCAACACGAATATATTCACGGTTTATGTGACCCAGAAAAATGCAGTTGCGTAACGGGGTGTTCGTCGGACCACTTTCAGACATGCGGGATTGGAGAACGAGGGTTGAGCAGATGCAAGAGCACAAGTCGGGCATTGAGGGCAACTTGAAGGACACGCGATCGCAGTTGGACAAGTTCCACGCGGACGTTTCCCGTACCCTCGATAAAGTGATGACGCGTGAAAAGTATTTGAACAATCAGTTGGAACATTTGTTGGTCGAGTTCCGTAATGCGCAAGATCGGGTCGCCGAATGCAGGCAACATTACGCGTCCGTCAGCGGCGGAGTTAATGAGAGAAAGGAAACTTTTCGACAGATTTCATCGAAACTTGACGCACTGAAAGATGAAATGGAACGTCGGGGTGCTTCTATGACCGATGGAAGTGAGTGGTTTTTTAAATATTTTTTATTGCGAAAATTTCAATGCACAAAACGTTTTATTGAAATTGAAGGCAATTTCGCTGGGAACAAACTCGAATAATGTTAGAGGATTGAGTGGGTTGCGGATGGACTTTATTTTAGATGCCATGGGCTTTGGATTTCTCTAGTACAGTTGAACCTCGCTAATTCGATTTTTCTTTTCTAAGCCCCTGTCTGAATTTCCTTAGAATGCATTAGAAATGTCCCGAACTCGAATTATTCTGCTGGTCCCTTGAAGTTTGACTTGAAGAGGTTGGACTGTATGAGTTACATTAAAAAGGAGCTGATTCATTGTAAACTAGCAGCAAGAAAGACACAATGTTTTTAGCAACTCTGCTGAGCGCGTCGAGAAGGTTTAAAAGCGTTGATTAAAGCAGGAAATGTGCGTGCAAATCTCATTGTGAAAACGTCTACGCAAAACTAAGTCTGTTTTCTTCCAATTTGAGATCCCTCGTAATCTCCTTGAGTACATCATTGGAGGAGAATTCGGGGGAGATTCCTATGTTCAACGAAAATCCCTGTAAAAATTCTTAGAACGCACAAGCCCAGTAGCATCTGAGGAATAAATTCGAATGCTCTCAATACTCAGTCACAACCCTTGTCGAGTATCGCACAATCTCAGATTTTTGGACGATCACCCTGATACCTGTGAAGGACATACATCTGAAGTTTTCCGGTGAATTGAATGAGCTTAAACGCCTCTTCCGTTATTCACACTTTTCACAGGTCCGCTTGTGAGCATCAGGAAAGCATTGACCAGAATCAAGCAGGAATTGATGGCGATGGAGATTCGTCATGGGGTTGTAGAACACACTTTGCTACAGGCACGTCTGAGGGACCGGAGTCTGATGCAGCGGGATATTGCATCTGTTTCTGGTCCTGGTCGGTTACACACTCAAACCTCAATCCCTCAGGGACTATATTAATGTTCAGTCTTGAGAAATCAGTTGTTGAAGCGTGGCGTGAAGATTTTTTTCTCGGACGTGATGTCGGGCACGCGCACATCGTGAATGATGGAAAAATTTGCCCGCGATGTATTTTTCAGGACTCGGGCTGATGATGAATTAGTTTAAAAAAAATTTAAGTAAAATACTGTACTGTACTCATCTATTGAATTTTCCGTCAAGTTAATGTAGCTCAGTACTAGACTTCGAAGAGTACTTTGCTGAACATTTTTAGACGTTCTGAAATTGAACGTTTGGAAAAGGCACTTTTATATTGTTCGTGATCCGGTGATGATTCATAATTTTTTTTTTTTCGAAATTGCTCGTCCGTCCGATTTTATGATAATTAATGGTCTCAGCTATTGTGAAACGCACTGTATGGTGATATTGCAACGTGATCTCGTGGATGCTGGAAATGTTCCTTTGATTCGGCAAGGGAAAATTTGAAAAAGTATCACTGACCTTTTTTCTCTGTCATTAGGAACTGTGCATTTGTATTTAATTCGTCGAGGATCTGTTATTTTTTTGTTGTCAAAAACATGGCTGTTTTCAAGTGTGCGATTCCTTCAAGTGCTGTGGGCACAACTCGAAAGGTTTTGACCATCACTTCGAGAAGGTTTGAACCAAATTTATTGTGTTTTTCATGCATTTTTTAAAAATAAAAATTAATTGCAGCATGTCAGCTTGGTGGAACGATGTAGAAATGGGCCCACCGGACGCTATTTTGGGAGTGACAGAGGCTTTCAAACGGGATACAAACCCGAAGAAGATCAATTTGGGCGTGGGTGCTTATCGTGACGACAATGGCAAGCCCTTCGTGTTGCCGAGTGTTAAGAAGGCTGTGGAAATTCTGCATGACAAGCATTTGGACAAGGAATATGCCGGAATCATTGGTTTACCCGATTTTGTGTCTGCTGCTGTTGAACTCGCTTTGGGAAGCGGAAACACAGTTACCAAGAATAAATTGGTGAGTTCAATATTTTTTGTTCCTTCTCCCTTCTCACACTTTTATTTCATCGTACCCAATTATGCTCATTGTTTTCTGGTTTTAGAATGCATCAGTGCAGGGAATCTCAGGAACAGGTTCTCTTCGAATCGGAGCTGCTTTCTTGAGCAAGTTTAGTCCCGGTCCGAAAGTAGTATATCTTCCTTCGCCGTCTTGGGGCAACCACACTCCAATTTTCAAACATTGTGGGTTGGACGTCAAGTCTTACAAGTATTTCGATGCCGCAACTTGCGGATTCGATTTTAATGGAGCTCTGGATGACATTAAGGTGAGGATGAAGTATTGTATTCGGCTGCCAATGTTGAACATGGAAAATTTGGAGCTGGTTCAGATTCAAGTCTCCGTTTTCAATGCTGAAGAAAATATTTTGTTTGTACATTCCTTTTTCAATGAAAAAAGTGGGTAGGGTAAAATCTGATGGCATCGTTTTCTTGTTGAAGGTTCCTCGTCGTAATTCTGATTTATTTTGATGTCAACTATAAGAGGGTAACTGAAGTTAGCAATTTTCTTACTTTTTGAGTGCTATGTTTCATTCAGAACGCGTCCATTTATTTTACGATTCCAGAAAATTCCTGAGCATTCCATCATTCTGTTGCACGCTTGTGCTCACAACCCTACTGGCGTTGACCCGAAACCAGATCAATGGGCTGCGTTGTCCGAGGTCGTTAAGCAGCGGAAGTTGTTGCCGTTCTTTGACATGGCATACCAGGGATTCGCTTCTGGTTGCACGGATACTGATGCATATGCAGTGAGGAAGTTTATTCAAGATGGTCACAACGTCCTGCTCGCCCAGTCGTTTGCCAAAAACATGGGACTCTATGGTATGTGTGCAGTGCGTCTACGCTGAAATTATAACGCGGGATTTTTAAACTTTTTATTTGCTTTAATAATTAGAGTCAACCCTCGCGTAGTGCCACGAATTTCCCTTGAACAGATCACCCTCCATTGTATTCTGAAGGGAAACCTTGATTTAGCGCCACAAAAATGTTCTTGTCCTGAATGAAAAAAGGGCCAAAATCAAAGAAATTAGAGCCCTTTTCTTGTGATATCATGAGGTCATTACTGAGAGGCACATGCCCATGCTCAGGATAATTGTAAAAATTACATTTCAAAATTTCCGTTTAATTGGATTATATTTTTTTGTTTTGCATTGATTCACTTCATATGTTATTCTTTAGGTGAACGTGTTGGTGCGTTTTCTGTGGTGTGCAGTTCTCCGGATGAAGCATCGCGGGTTTTGTCCCAAATTAAAATCATCATTAGACCAATGTATTCCAACCCACCTATCAATGGAGCAAGAATAGCCTCGACCATTTTGCACGATGCTGCTTTGAATCAGTTGTGGTGCGTATCGTTTGTTTGTTCTGTTTTAAAATTCAATGATTCCTGGTTCTTTGTTTTCAAGGATGTGATCCTGAATATTTTTCATGAATTTTCATAAGAGGCGTGCCAGATTTTAAAAAGAGAGCTATGCAATTTAAAAAATTGCCCCGAACATTTTAGTACAGTACAGTACTGTATTAATATTCAAGGGGCTAATTTTTTTCCAATTTTTGTAGTATTTAATAGTACAGTATTATGAATAAGTTTCATGATTACTGGTACTGTATATTAGAGAGTATGAAGAGCATTTACGGTGACTAGCAGGATCAAACTTGACAGAAATATGGTTGCGAGCTGCGTTTTTGTACTTCTGCTTTCGGGTTCTTCGCAGTTCATTTTCCGGGAACTCGAAGCCTGGTACTATCCTTGGTGTTGTACGCTGTAAATTACCCCACTCCTGGATAAATATTTCAGAGGATTTTCTTTGTCGACTGTTTCGGTTCTACTCGCGTTTTACTAAGTTGTTGTTCATCCTTACGTTTCCTTCATATTTGCCCTAGGTTAAAGGACGTGAAGGGAATGGCCGATAGGATCATTGGAATGCGTACGAGACTACGAGATGGGTTGACCAGGGAAGGCTCCAAACGTGACTGGGCACACATAACTGACCAGATCGGCATGTTTTGCTTTACTGGCATGAAGCCGGCGGAAGTTGAACGCCTCACCAAGGAATTCAGCGTTTACCTAACCAAGGATGGACGGATCTCTGTCGCTGGTGTGTCGTCCAACAATGTAGACTACCTGGCTCATGCGATGCACCAAGTTACCAAGTGAAAAGCTTGCGCCGCTGCGAATTCCGAAAAAAGGGGTTCCTGTGTGTGAACCCGTGCAGATCAAAGCGTACATGCTTTTCGTTAGTTTTCTCCTTTTGCAAGGAAAATACACCCCGGATCGTCCTGTGCAACGCAATTTGTAGGTTGTTTTCGTGGGAAGAGGAAAACTTAGGAATGGCTTTGTTTTGGGAGCTTTTATTAATTTTTTTGTGGCCCATTGTTGAGAACTTCGTGGAACTGTGCTTTCTGGTGTAATTAAAGTTGTTTGATTCATTTTCGGTCCGCGAGAACGAATGGCGATTACTAGACTGAAAATTTTAGCTTTTTTGATAGGTTAGAATCAAGGAAGTCACAGATGAATATTATAAAAATTTAATCCGACGCCATCTTTTCTTTAACTTTTATAAATGGAAATTTAGGTGATGATTGTTTTGAAATCTATGATTTTTCTACATGTACAATGCAATTATCCCGGCGATTTTCTTTCGTAATGATAGAAAAAGTAGGGTTGGGGTGCTTTTAAATTTGATCAATTTCTCCGGTTTGTATGTTGAACGACTCAAGGAAAGCCTGAGCAAAGTAGTACTTGTGAATATCAAACTTCTTCGTTTTCAAGGTTGGAACTAGGATGATATGATTTTTATCACATTGAATCGGAAATTACGCGTAGAACGCGTCGCGCTCGAACCGAAAGGGAAAATACAAACGGAAAGTGAAGAGACTCGGAAAAGGATGTCAAATTTATTATCATTCTGACGAAGTTATAAAAATGACCAGTGAAACTTTTCCGAATCATCCCGAGTTTTGTTCATGTTCTTTTAGATTTTGGGAGGATTGTTCGACCCGCGGTTGTGACCAGTGAATGGGTTAAATATGGACACCCATGACTTGTTCTTGAGTTGTCGACGCGGAGATTTGATGCGCGTGAGGTGAGTTTTGTTGACAATTTGTTTTGGGAAAAGACTTTCACAGGACGGCCAGACATTTTATAACTCTTTGAATGTGCTGTACTGTAGTTCTAAAATTAAAATACGAAAGCAGGGAAAGAAAGACTCAATTTAAAGTTTAATTTAATTGCTTTTAAATCGTGTCTGTACCCTGCTCTTATTTATGCTGCAATGTGTTAAATGTAGCTATTTGTGGAAAATTTGGATCTTGAAAAAGTTGTGGAAAATGTTCTTCCAACTAAACATTTTCTTAGGTGTATCTAAAAATTTTACAATACGGAGATGCTAAATTTTTTTTTAATCTTCAATTCACCTTCAAGTAGGGCTTCCGTTTTTCGTTTTATTTATTAATAGTGTATTTCCATTTTATTTGGATGTATTTTATTCAAATGCCAAAATTTATATACCGTATTTGTATGGGATTATATTTTCAATTTCCCGAACTGCAAATTTCTACGACTTTGACCCCAAAGAAGAAAAACATGCCTCACTGGATCGATCAAGATAATTTCAATCGTGAAATTTTCAATTTTCACAATTTGAAGCATTCTGTCATCGGTTATTTTTTATATGCTTTCCTATCAATAAAATTGACCTCATTTCTCCCGTCTTGTTCAGCTAGGAATGTTTTTCCTTCTTGAGTCAATCTTTTTGGAACTTCAGTTTTCACAACTTCGAATATTTTAGCATTGAAATGCGTAACTTTCATAATAACCATAATGCAGATACAAGTTGAGAAAAAACGTGTTCATAATTTGGAACACAATGATTTTGGCATTTTTCGAAGATGCCCTAGCTTTTTTCAGCATTGTAAATTTTTGACGCGTTGTGGTTGAAGTGGAATACTTCAGGTACTTTTCCCAAAATTCAGATTTTTTGAAGTACAGTACTGTACCAGCTGTGATATTGCGGATCCAACAAGAAACAAAAACGATTCTGCATCAATTGAAGTGAACCCTAGACTGAATGGATTTTTTTTCAAGTTTTTTAATGTAATTTCGGAAGTGGTCCAAAATTTTATAAGCTACGATGTACATGATGTGCCAGTAAAGGAAGAATTGATTAATTGTCTTCATCCGAAGAACGCTCGTGGAGAAGAAAGAAATTGACGTGAATGTGAGGGACAAATGGGACAGTACGCCGTTGTACTATGCCTGCTTGTGTGGGCATCGGGAAGTCGTTTTATATCTGCTGGAAATTGGCGCTCGGTGTGAAGCCAATACTTTCGATGGTGAACGGTGCCTTTATGGAGCCTTGAATGACGACATCAGACATCTGTTGCGCAATTACAAAGTCATTACAACTTCTACTATTCGGCGGGATGTTTATCAGGAGTTTCTTCGACGGTCAGTCGTATGTTGCTGCTGTGTTAATTACTTCGCGGACTGGCTTATTTACTCGATTATGATTTTTTTAATTCTGCAGTACGATAAGGTTTTTGACGTATTCACGCGAATACAGGCATCCCTTTTATATTTTAGAAGCACAAAAACTACGGGGGAAGGTGGTTGCTTTTATTTGCGTATTTATGCAATACGCCTAAATATGCGTATGTATACTGTATCAGGAAATCTTCCTGTTCACGACGCACGGGACAATCGAGCACTTGTTTTCTTCAGTTCTTTTAGAATTAAATTTTAAAATGATCAGGATGTGGTCAGCTATTGGCACTTCAAGATGCACGAGTCATTGACCAGAAGGGGAAAAGCAAGGATTGTTTTGCACCACTTTTCGTTTTCTGGGTAATAAATTTAGTCAGAAATTTTAGTGTCAAAACACCAAAGGAAAGGAAGTGGATGTTTATATTTGGCTATGAATGGAATTTTAATTTTTTGCATTAAAAATCTAGGTGATGCTTATACTCGCGTGAATACGGTATGTAAAAAATGTGGTTTTTTAAATCAGGATCTAAAGTTCAGGAAATGAGCTTTTCTCCGCAATTGGTCTTCGTACTGCATAGTATTCGAAGAAATATTTTCTTTCAAGAATGTCTGAACTTTTTTGTTCATGCAATTGAAGAATTTCTTACTTATTATAGGAATTAGGTAACATCTTGTCACAAACCTACCAACAAATTCTTTATTTTATTTATTTTTTCATTTTGACGCCCTTTCTGCACTTGTAGTAAATGCGTACTGTATCAAGTTTACTTAATTTCGAGCTTTAGAGAATTTCTAATTTTTCAGAATATCCCCGTCGTACATGTGTTTTCCAGTACTGTAATATACTTCTAGAATACTGCAGTATACTGTATGGTGTTTTCCTGCGTGTCAATCTTAGGCTCTTGGATTCCGGAATGTACAGCGATGTTGTCATATCCATTCACGGTCACGAGTTCAGACTGCATCGTTGTATTCTGTGTGCGAGGTCGGATCATCTGCTGAATCTTTTCACTGAGCGATGGACGCGAAAGAAACTCATAACAATAAATAAGCCCATGGTAAACGAAAAAAAAAATTGGCTCATTTGTTCAGCATGCCAAATACTAAGGGGATATATTTGCGACTTCAGGTTACCCCGGAAGCTTTCAGGGCGTTGACGCAGTATCTCTACACAGGAGGTATGGAGATTCCGATCGATGCAGTGGAAGACGTTATGGTTCTGGCTAATCATTGTAAATTGAGTGAGATGCGAAGTGGCGTGGAAGACGCCTTGGCAAATGTTGAAGAATTCCGTAAGTTGTTAGGTGTACTGTTGAAATTTTGATTGGGACCCTTCTGTTTTGTTGCTACCCCTCTAGTTTTTCTTGTTTTGTTTGAATTTATGCTCTTGACCTACACCTAAGGTTCAGAAAAAGGTTAGTTTGGCGCCTATATTTGCGATGGCAGGAATGTTGAGATGCCATTTTGACGACGGCACATCAAAAAGTACAAGAAAGAGGCAATTGCAAAAAAAAGTTACACCATTGATTGATTACTGGAGAACCAGAAATACTGTTGAACCATTCTAAATCAAATTTAAAGGGACCAGCAAAAAAAATCGACATTCCTTGAAAACTAAGGGAGTTTTCAATGAAAGGAAACCAGCTATATTATTGCAATGAAATGTAAAATGGCAGGAAATTGTAAATGGGGATTATCTGGGCCTTAACTTGCTTCTGACACGAGTCTACCACATTCTGAACTTGGAGGCCGGGGTTCATTTCTTGATTAGTCTTACACTTCCTCTCAAGACCCATCAAGTTACAGTACTTGTTTTTATTGATTTTCTCTTAAATGTGGGAAGACAATAATAGCCTAACTTCCTCAGAAAATTCGACTTGCTGAGATTCAAGAGGAAAAGACTTATTTGAGTTAAGAGGTTTTTAAGGAATTATTTCTAAATGAATTCAGAAGGGGACTTGAAAAATTCAAGTTGGAGAGGTTTGACTTATCAACGTTCAACTGTAATATCAGTCAAAAGACCTCCAGAAAATTTGTTTTATGCAGGTTTGCGGTGAAAGCCTTTCAGTTGGGGACGTTTTTAATTCATTGTTTCAAAGGGCATTGAGACAGGGACTTTAAAAAAAATCGACATAGGGGGGTTCCAGTTATCAAGGTTCAAATGTATGTTTTTCAGGTTTGGCGAAGCCTGGAGCCATGGTTACCACACTGGTGGTGGAAGGAGTTGGAGAGAGATTGGAAAATCTACGCGCGGATTTGGGAGTCCTTGGGCAACAGGGATTACCGGAAAACATGATGCATTGGATCGGAGGAGACGAGCTTCCCTTAATGCCCTATGTTCCTGCACAGTTCGTGGACGTTATTTTCCGCGTGAACGATTTCAGCTTCCACGGGCACAAGGCATTTTTCTGCGCTCGCAGCGAATATTTCCAAGCCCTCGTCAATGATCACTTTGGAGAAGCGGAACGAAATGCTGACAACGAAGTTCCTGTTGTTATTACCCTGCACAGTATCACTCCTTTTGTGTTTGCTAGTGTACATGGGTAAGTTCTCAAGTTTGGGTTTTTGAAACGGACAAGTGAAAAGGATTTTCTTTGCTAGACTAGGAAACTTTGGTACCAGTAATCCGTTGCAGATTTTTGTTGTTGTAAAAATGCGTTGTAATTGATTTTACTCAGGGTAATACTTGTACAGTACATGAAAACATTGTCAATTGTTACTTATGGGCTTGAAATCCCTTTGCGTAAATTCTATCCAAAATCGTCAAGGCCGCTCAACAGCTGTAAGATTTAACGCCTTGTCTCTGTCTATTCTCCGATGCTTTTGGGATTTATTTTTGGCTGAAAGGTCACCCAGGACGTTTTAAAACTCTCAAAAGAGATTCGAAAACGCTTTTTTTTCCTCAAGCTCATGGAGATATAGTGGGATGCATCATTTTAATCAGCATTAATTTGTCAAGAGAGAAAGCTTGATTTTATCCACAAAAAATAACTTCGTGGGTGATTCGTGGGACATTTTAGAGACCACTGGTTCAATTTTTCGAGTATCATCCATATCTTCACTAATTTCTATTTTTACATTTATTTCAGCTACCTCTACGAGAATGATGCGAAAATAGTTGGCATTGATCACGCAGTAGAAGTACTTGCTGCTGCTGATCAGTACTTGCTTCCAGGACTGAAACGATTGTGCGGTGCAGCGATTGCTGCGCATTTGAACGTGGATAACGTTTGCGATGCATTTTCGCTTTCGCGACTTTTCTGCCTTCCCAGGCTCGAAAATGCTTGCTGTGAATATATGGCGGCGAATATTGAAGTGGTGAGTTTTTCTCGCCTGAATCATGATTGGTCTAGCGGTTCAGACTACTGTATATTTTTTGCCTAAAAGTACTTCTAACTTTATCGACTGTTGTTTTTTTTCTGAGTAGTATTCGTGAAGTGGCAGGCTAGTCACAGTATGCAATTCCAAGGATAACTGGAATTCAAGGTTGTAAAACAAGGCATTGTTTTTGAGAAAGTATTGTGAAAGTTTCTGAATCAAAGTTCCCGACATATTTTTAGGGACATTTGAACGTCTCTAGAAATATGCTGTCATCACAAATTCGTTCCAAGAGATAGGCGCATCTTGGAATTGATGGCATCTTTTGTTTGTGTATGGTTCTTCAATGGAAGAGGGAACTGGAGGTATTCAGGGTATACATATTTTTGCTTATCTAAAGGTGATATCGAGACCAGAATTCAAGGAGCTTGTGGTGAAAGATGCTGCTGAAGTTCAGAAGCGAGAAGATACTGACAGCATTGATATTATTGATGATATCCGACACCTGATTACCTGCGACATCCGAACACTGAGTCATATTGACGAGGCCGATGAGAAACTGAGGTTGATCGACAGTTTACTGGAGGATCTTGGGCTGGATGCCTGAAGAAAAATATTTCATGCGGAATTCCATTCGTTACCTGCGACATCCGAACACTGAGTCAAATTGACGAGGCCGATGAGAAACTGAGGTTGATCGACAGTTTACTGGAGGATCTTGGGCTGGATGCCTGAAGAAAAATATTTCATGCGGAATTCCATTCGAGAAGGAATATTTCTAATTCGAGTCGAAATGCCTGGTGTTGGAAGTTTTTATTTTTGTTTTTCTTCATGTGAAATGGTGCACCTGATTACGAGAATGGTCTGCGGGAAATCGAGGCAAGTTACGTTAATTTGCTTTTACAATTGGAAACTTCGTGAATTGAATTCTAGTGATACATTTCTTCCAAAATGCGATTAAAAGACAAGCTTTTATACCGGGGATATTTGGTTCATTCATGATCAAATGCACTACCAATATAAGCATAATCTTCTACGTATTACATATGATTTTACGCAATCCTGACATGTATCATCACAGCGTCTATGTACGCGTTGAAGCACCGAAAGTTAAGCTTCTTCACATTTTTGATGCCTTGAATATGTACGCCACCCATTTCAATCATTTTATCAGTCTTGAACAGGAAGCTTACGAGGCATCACAAATGAGATGCGTCACCAAATATGACAAAGCCACATAAGTGAATGAACCTTGGCGGGTACCCGGTAAACGACGCAGGTTGAAAACGACCCAAGAAGGGCTTAAGCCTTTGAAATCCTCTCTGGCGCCGTTCTGAGGTTGCAGTCAACCGTCAGTCTTGCCAACAATATTTCAGTAAAAGTACACACTCCAGGTGCCGGGTGTAGTCCAAAAGAGATCATGATTGAGATCATGAATGAATTGAGATCATGAATTTGAGATCATGACTGAAATGACAGTTGAAGGTTGGAAGGAACCAGAGGAGTGAATCTACTTCTCCATTGATGCTGACCAACATCACCAAATACTGTACCACCTACGATGTCGCCAAATTCCGCACACTTTTTCAAAATTCCTATACTGCATTTCCGTCATCCTTTGGTGATGCGATCATTGCTGATTCTAAAATTTCCCGCTAAGAATTATTTATTCAGTTTAAAGCAGAAAGCTGAATAAAAAAAGTGAGGGGGGGCTTTTGACCTAGGGGGGCTTTAGGCAGGGGGGGGGCTTTCCGGGGGGGCTTTTGGTTGGGTACCCCAGGGGCCTCAAAAATCTCATGAATTTCCCAAGCTTAGCCAGATATGCTGTTCATTATATACAGTACCACAATATGTTTTTATGATTATGCAAAGGAAATTGAAATAAATTTGATTTGGAATGCGGCATAAGTCACCTCATTCAGATTACCTGAGATTTTGAGGAAGTGGAAAGTTTTCTGGAATTAATGAGCAATTCAAATCCTGTTTCAAATTCCTGAAAATTATACTGATTTTTTTCTGGACATATGGTTCATCACAATGTCACCAGTCTCCCCAAATATTCGAAGCACTGAATAGTATTGATGCGCAGTATAAGAAGATCATAAATTCTCACATGATTAAATGGCTTTTCATTTCCGTAACTTTGTGAATAGATAGCAATGACATGGTTGAAAGCAAGATGGAAGAGCCTTCTTTTCTTCCATTTT